GGGAAAGGAAGCCCCCGAATGCACTGAACTCAGGTTAAGACTGCACTGAACCCCAGCCCCAGCTAAAACCCCGTGGACCCAGACTCATATGGATGGAGTCTGGACTGTAGAGAAAGGCATCCAGAGACTCAGAGGCTGGGAGACTTGGGGGAGCCAGAAGTTGCAGCAGGCAAGATCTAGAGTCCTGTGCGAGTGAGTGAGCACAGAGAGGTCTGACTCTGGAGGTTGCCACAGCCTCTCCATGGTGAAGGAGTCAGAAGCTCCTGACTGCACTGAATCCCAGTTCCACTGCACTGAGCACTGAAACTCAGTTACAGGCAAGCCCCTGGGGCACCCACACTCTTACAAGGGAAATCAGAACAGTCAGGCAGAAACTCAGGGGATCCGTGAAAGGCAGAGGTCTGAGGTGTACGCACAATGGCAGGGCTGATGGGAAGCCAAGACTGTCATCTCAGCCCTGAGACTTCGCCCCATCCAAGCTGAGCTCAGAGGCTTTTGCAATTTTGCAAGTCTGATCCTATAAGACTGTCTCCAATACAGAAGGTACCTGGTGTAGACACAGCTGATAGTGATATTCAATTGGCCTGGAGATCAATTCCTCCCAGTGATACCAACAACAATCAGGAGTTAACTACAACAAGGCTGTACATGCAGTCCACGAAGGGGAGCACCAAGAGTGTCTACCTCAGGTAACTGGAGAGGCTGACCCACTGGACCATATAGGATACCAAGCACACAAAGCCACCCTACTAACTCAGGGAAGCAGCAAAAATGAGGAGGCAAGGAAACAGATCTCAAAGGAAAAAAAATGGAGGAGAACAAAAACTGGATATAGAGTTCAAAACCATGATTATAAGGTTTTTCAAGAATTTCCTAGAAAAGGAGGATAAATTTAATGAGACCCTCGAGGATATGAAAAAGGACCAACTAGAAATTAAACATACACTGACTGAAATAAAAATTATTATTCAGAGACCCAATAGAAGACTAGAGGAATGCAAGAATCAGGTTAAAGATTTGAAATACAAAGAGGCAAAGAATACTCCCCTGGAGAAGCAAGAAGAGAAGAGAATCCAGAAATTGATGATAACGTAAGGAGCCTCTGCAACAACTTCAAGGTTACCAACATCAGAAGAAGAGAGAGAGCAAGATACTGAAAACCTATTTGAAGAAATAATGTCAGAAAACTTCCCCCACCTGTTGAAAGAAATAGGCTTACAAGTCCAGGAAGTACAAAGAACCCCAAGCAAAAGGAATCCAAAGAAGACCACACCAAGACACATCATAATTAAAATGTCAAGGGCAAAAGACAAAGAGAGAATCTTACAAGCAGCAAGAAAATACAGCTAGTTACCTATAAGGGAGCACACATATAATTATCAGCTGATTTTTCAACAGAAACTATGCAGGCCAAAAGAGAGTTGAAAGGAATATTCAAAGTGATGAATAGCAAGAACCTAGAACCAAGATTACTCTACCCAATAAAGTTATCATTCAGAATTGAAGGGCAGATAAAGAGCTTCACAGATGAGAAAAAGCTAAAGGAGTTCATCACCACCAAACCAGTATTATATGAAATGCTTAAAGGTATTCTTTAAGAATAGGAATAAGATTTAGATTAAAATTATGATCAACAAATACACATATATCAACAAGTGAATCTAAAAATCAAGTGAATTAAAAATCTGAAGAACAGAATAAACTGAATGTAATAGAATCAGAGGCAAAGAAAAGGAGTGGATTGATAATTTCATAGCGAAATGGGTGTGGGGGGTGCAGTAAGAGACTGGACTAAAATCTTACACCTATGTATGAGGACAATGGTGGGGGGATAAAAGCAGAGGGTGGGGTGGGAACCAATGGAAGGGAGCTATGGGGGAAAAAGGAAAACAATCCTAATAATCTGAGCAATAAAATTTATTAAATTAAAAAAATTAAATCATTTCAGTGGAAATTATACTTCTATTAATAACTGTAACCATAGTAACAATGTTCTCTTACATTTGTGAAGTTCTTTTATAGAACTATGGTAAAAACATGTAAACTGTACCATCTTAACCATTTAAGTAATATATTTTTTAATTGTGTTAAAATACATGTAACAAGATTTATCATCTACCATTTAAAACAATATGATTTTATTAATCAATGTCACTCCAATTAATTTAAAAATTAGAATCTATATTATTTTTAAAACATTTTTATTGATTTCAGAGAGGAAGGGAGAGGGAGATTGGAAGAAACTCACTACAGACTGATTCATTTGCCTCTCAGCATAACCATTATTGCTTGTCTCATTTTTGGTTCTTATAAGTCTATTTCTAGTACCACATGATCTCACTCATCTAGGGGAAATGATGAACAATGTAGACTTATGAACAAGACAGACCTGGAGACAAGGAAGCATAGATTAGACTGTCGGACCTCAGAGGGAAGTTAGGGAAGGGTGGGGATAAGGAGGAGAGATCAACCAAAGGACTTGTGTGCATGCATATGAGCCCAACCAGTGGTCACGGACAACAGGGGTTGGGGGCATGCGTGGGAGAAGTTTGGGATGGGAATGGGGGGATGAGGACAAATATGTGATACCTTAATCAATAAAGAAATTTTAAAAAAGAAATCAATGATGAGAGAGATTTATTGATTGGCTGTTCCTGTATACCCACACTGGGGACTTTATTTGCCATACACAAAAAGCAGTATTTAGGCTAGTTGTAACAAGCTCCCTAATGTTTTCACTAAAATGCCCTTTGTGCTCAAGAAAGCTTTTGCTATGATACAAAGCAGAAGGCGGTGGCCTTATAGAAAAATAGCAGCAGTTTCAGCAGGTTATACTGAAGCCTTCCTAAGGCAGTGAAACTTAGCAAGATATTTCCCCAGGAACCCTAATGCCTTAAAGACATTTCATAAAGAAAATGGTCTAGGGTCAAATATAATGGCTAGCGGAGAGTGAATTGACTTATCTAGCTGGAGTAGACGACTCATTTAAGAAATAATTGGAGAAAAGGGAGGAGATGTATTAAGGCAGATATCTAGACTAAGGCATTTAGATTTTATTTTATAATATGCAGTCAGGAAATATTGAAGGTTCTAGAGCAAAAGATGACATAATGAAAGAGATTTTTCTCAGTTTACGTGGATTTTTTCAGTTTACGTAGAATGGATTGGAACAATGAAGCCATCTGTTTAAAATAACTTGGACATGAAGTGACGAGGGCCTGAATTAGGGTTCAAGACATAAGGATAAAGATGGAAATTTACAACATATATCACACGAACAAAAACATTAAAGCTTGGAGATGAAAGGAGAGAATGAGGGAGAATCAAAATTATCCTCAAGTTTATAGTTTTGGTAACTGAAAGCATGCTTGTATTGCTGACAAAGCAAGAGAAGGGAGGTGTGAAGAGTGGGATTTGGAGAGGCATATGTTGAATTTGAGATGTCAGTAGGTTATATCCAAAAGAATGGGTAACTTCTTATCCATTCCCTTAATATTAGAAGTTTTGCACAGTGATATACTCTTTAAATTTAAGAATGCCTTTATTTTAAAACATGTGTCTGACAGTGATATGATACACCTTAGAATAGCAAATATTTAATCTGATTTATTGTAAGATTTACTAAGGTGCATTAATTCCACTGATGCTAATAGAAATTACACAAGCAGAGCAAAAAGAGGCTGCTAAGAATCCCAGTCATTCGTCAGCTTGTCTTTTGTATAATCTTTGTTAATTATACTAGGAATTGTATTAGAATTCAATTTATGACAAGGAGAGATCTTGTTTAAAGGTCCTAACACCAGCCTAGAGCACATTTAATTTAAATAGGGAGCAGAGTCAAGTAAATGAAGTATAAAATTGCTTCACAGTTATACTTTCTATCAAGTGAGTAGTCAACCCTTAAATTGTTTATTATATCAGATTTCTTTTTTTATTGAAGGAAAATAGAAATTCAGTTTTAGCAAGGAAATTAAACATGACAATTTAAAATAATAGCTCTATTATTTTTATATGTGATAAAATACACACTAAGAATATATTAAAATTATCAGTTAATATGTTACTAGAATGTTTCAATTTTTCAAAGAGATGTAACTTTTAAATATGTGTTCACTAGATGATAATAAAATAAAACTAATAAGAATATTTAAAAAAAAACAAAATTAAAGCTATAAATAATTCAATTCATTGCAATTATATTAATGCATAAATCTGAATTGTTCTACATGATCCTTGACATTATAATGTGTGACCCATTAATAAATAGAGGACTTATGTTAAATCCTCTATTTATTAATGGGTCACACATTATAATGTCAAGGATCATGTTCCTGTGAACACCTTATGTTAAAGATAATTTCCTTAACTTCCCTGGCTGTAAGTGAATACTGGTGTTGGTACTTTTAATATATCCAAATTTAAGTTTTAGTTGTGCATATAGGAACTGAAGTATGGAGTAAATAACAATGGAATATAAATGACCTTGCCTCCAGCGTGTTTTTTGTTCCTTGGATTGATAGCTACTAGAGTCATGATGAACCACATTTTAAGTTCCCATGAACCAAGGGCTGATTGACGCCCAGTTTAACATAAGCACCATTTTATGAGAGTTTCCATAGTGACCAGGTTCCAGTTATCAGCTTGAACAATTTCATATATGATTAATGTTAATTGCCCATTTTGCATGGCTGACTTCTGGGTTGCTGAATTGGTTGCTACTGCCTTTGATCTGGTTGGGAATACAATCCAGTGCAATAGTTAGAAAAGTGATCAGTTTGCCAACACTGAGAGAAGATTGATTCAGGTTGCTGTGAGGTCAGAGTTTGTTTCTCTTTATAAACACTAAAAGGTCAAGTAGAGTTTAACTATCATTGGCATGCTCGAAATGTTGTAATAAATGCCAGACCTAAGAGGTTATTATTAATCTATGATGCAATTAAAAGACTTACCATTCTTTCAAAAAATTCTCATTTAACTTAACAGCACCTTTAAAGTGTAACATTTTTACAGTTAAGTAAACAATTCTTTCAAAGTGAGTGTTATTTGTTGTTTTCGTGGCTTCTAATGTCATCCAAAAAATGACACATTCAGGGACTATCCCAAGGGATTTTAAATATCAGTGATATCTCTGAATAGTAAACCCCAGGTCAATATTAACAGCCCACTTCAGGAATCCAACTGCAGTGGTCTTTACAAGTTGTTGCTAATTCCCCCTTTAACTGCCACTATATCTTCAGCAATTTGTTTAGTTTGTCCCAGAATGTTACAAGTGTTTCTTTAAAGAATTTTAAGCCAAGCTTTCATTAAAGATGATGGCTTGACTTGTGATTCCTCACTAAATCATGTATGACCATATGGTTTATATTAAGTATCTTGAAGCCTCATGACATCATTAATGAATTTACTAACAATATATTTTTCTTTTAAACAAAATCACTCACCTTATTAAATTATTCACTCCTTGATTCACATATAAATTACTGATGACAGGAAATAAAATTTCAACAATGAAATGTTATAATATTAATGAGCAAAATATCAGCTATTACAACTTCAAATAAATATATCATAGAATGTGTCATATCCTGTTGACAATAGAAGACCCACTGAATTTCCCTCTTAGGGAACTGCCAACTCTACAAAGTGTAAAAATGGCAAGGTAGCACTTTGTAATTCACTTCAACTGCGGAAATATAAAATGCTGTGGATATACTATATTTCAAGTTGAATTGTTCTTTAATCTTAGGAAACTGAGCTGTTATTTAATTTCTTCTAAAGAAGTTTGCAGAAAGAAGGGTAAAATACATACCAAGGTAAATTTTGTTAAAAGATAACCTGGACCCAGAGAAAATAATGATTCTTTGGAAGAATATTTTCCTAAACTACCCACAAATGTTACACACAATGTTGATTCTATAAAGCTGAATGTCTCAAAGATTTAGGTGAATTATTTAATTAAAATTTTGCTATTTCATGGGGTTGGTCTTGTACTTTAACAATTTTTGTTTGTGGTGTTATGGGTGATACATCCACTGAGCCATTTGGGTGGCAAATTTTAAAAAGAGGCCTATTTTATTTTACAGAGTACAAATAACCTTGTAATTAAACTGAAAACAAATAATTACCAACAAGCAATTACCATTTAATTAAAGAGTAATTACATGGCTATTTATACTCTATAAAATAAAGCATTACTGAAATCAGTAATGCAATCAATATTTTATCAGAAATAGGATGCTGCAATGATGGAGTTTTCAGCCCATGCTAATTAAATTGTCATCTAAAAAACAGTTTTCTGGTTAAATCACCACATGTTTATTTGTCTTGATTAATATGTAAATATATGCCTAATGTTAATAGAGCTCTTAAAGATAGGAAATATGGCAGGATTATCAATCAAGAAGATCTTTACCAACATTCTATGAAGCTCTTTATAGTCTTTCATCATGCCGCCAGGCTTGTGTTCTTTGAAAGGAAATGCAAGAAATGTAGTGCTAGGAATATTTTACTACAGAATATCATTAGGTCTAAAAGTAAAAATAAAACCATCTTATATTAGTATGGAGCTTTTTCACAAACTTGATTCTAATTAACTTATTCTAAGGGCCCAAGTCTTCTTGTAAAAATGGAGGCATCTGAGTGTGAATTTTGCTCACTAATAAATTTAAACAAGTTTGGAAGTGGATATCATACAATCACACTCACTAAAGAGTTAATCATACATTTTAAAGAGCAGATCAAACACAAATCTTTATCACTCGATGATTAGCTCCTCAATGGAAGAAGCTGTTCTACGTCCTTACAATAGATCAAACAACAGAGCAAATCCCTTAACCTTGTCAAGCTTACATTTTAAACTTTGTGACCCTCATACCTAGTCCTAACACCACACTCATACTTAATGGGTACCTAGTGCATATTCATTTACTGGATGATTGAATTAGTAATATTATCACTGTATATGTGTAACTCCAGGGATTTTTAGTCCTTGAGCAGGTGTTGAAGCTTGTGGGACCTCTCACATGTGAGAGAGTGGCATCCACCCTTTAAACTTGTATATAGTCAGATTTGAATGGATCATATTTTCAAGGTTTTATAATGGCTATAGAATCCAAGACTTAAAAGTGGTTATTTGATGAGTAAATAATGCAACTAGCTTGAGATTCATATGGTCAAGGATAATAGAGAAATGTAACGAATATTTGGTAGCAGCAGTGAGATAATATTTCCTGTTGTTAATGAACTAATTTAATTAACCATTTACTGGATCCTACTGTGTGTTAGCACCATGAAAATTGCTCAGGATACAGTGACAAAACCAGAAATATGTGCTGCATTCATGGGACTTACATTCTAGTTGGGAAGGCTCACAATCATACCAACATAAAAACAAATTATACAGTAAAAAGAATGTTAGAATGGAGAATATGGTTTATGGCATATGCAATAAATACAATGGAGCTATTTGTGACTGAAGTGATGGATTTTCCAATATAGATCTGCTGGTGGAAAGTTTGACCAATTTTTTCAAATATTTATATGTAAGATAGAACCATCAAACTAAGGGGCCTCCAATGCTTCTCAAGCCTGTCAGCTTAATGGAAAAGAATTATATCAAACAGTGGACCAATAAATTTGTAAGAGAGCGGTTTAAACTGTATAGCTTTCGAAGTGTACTATCAATGGCTGGCTCAAAATGTTGATGTAGAGCACATGTGTCAAACACAAGGCCCGCGGGCCAAATCCGTCCCGCCAGGCCTTGCAATGTGGCCCGCACTGCGCTGTCATCACTGCACTCTGCTGCGTTTCCATCACAATGACAGTTTATGACTGTTCAGTAAACCATTCGGCCCGCGATTTAGGCTGGATTTTAGATTTTGTCCCCTTCTCTGATTGAGTTCGACACCCCTAATGTAGAGGGAGCACCTCTGGATATATCCCATCTGAAAGTGAGCATAAAGACAGCACTGAAATGTTTACAGTGAAAGAGAAATCAGGTGGACTTGAATAAAGTTAGTAGGCTCGGGTTCTGACAAGTAGAAAGACACAAAGAAGAACTTTAGAAAAGTACAGATTTGGTGAAGATTATTTAAAAAGCTAACATGCCTTCTTTTAATGACTGGATGTTCCCTGATTACTATCATTCAGTGATTTTGGAATTCTTTAGGGTACTTGAAGTAAATAGCATATTCCTCTCATCTTTAGTCTCTAAAAGAGTTAGAAAGCCATAAAATAGTGCAAGGGCAAACAAGATAACAACACTGAATTAAAGAAAATAAATTATGGCCCAAAATCAAGTAGTATGAGGGAGAAGAGAGTCAGTTTATAAAATTGAAACATTAAATGAGAAAAACAGACACTTTGTGCTATACTTGTTTACAATATTGATGTATAATGAAAGAAAATAACCCCTGCAGTATATGAAAAATGATCTGGGTAATAGTACCTCTGTGTAATGTTGTTAGAAGTTGTCTTCATTTAAAATCAGAGTTTGTCTTACATTGATGGAGTGCTTTGCTACTGAAAAATTGATAGAATGAGATTCAAATTAAAATTCTTTATGGACCAAAAAAGTCATTTTTGGAAATGTTTTCTATCTGAACTTCATACATTTTTGTAATTTGGGTTATTTAATGTAATATTTTGTTGCATTTTATCAGAAGACTTCTTATTCAGTTTTGCATATGGAATTTCTATTAAAAAGCAACAGCAATATCTTAGGCAACATTAGAAAGTAATATTTGAAATATATTGGGTGACTTAAGAATGACTGGATCATATGAAGAGACTTATGTGTCTCTTCATTGTAATGACAGCTTCCAAATGATGTATTCAGTATACTGACTGTATTAGGGTACAAGATGAAGGCCATGTACTGATTTTCTATTTCATTATTTTATGGGTTAACATTTCCTACTGCAATTTCTGAACTGTTCACACAAGGGTAAAGAATGTGCAAATGGAATAGATTAGGTTAATATTATAAGTTTAGCCTCAACTCATCAGTTAAAACCACCAATCAATTTGTGAAAGAAGATAGCCTAGATTGCAAAGGTGGTAGCTATTGCTAGTACAGCCACTCCAAAAGAATGCCCTGCTAGTTATACAGCCTGGTTTAAAAAATTGAGGGGAAAAAACCCCTGCTGAAAGTGGAAGTCTTTTGTTCTTTGTGTGCTCTGGCAGCTGTGGAAATGCTAATAAACACCAGTTCTTATTCTATATCTCTCAACTCTTTACCCCTCACCTGTGGCATGCTGGACAGAGACTTAATCACTTCACATTCTGTACAATTTTAATTCTGTGAGTTACTATCTCAGATCTCAGTACCATGTATTAATACCAGAGATCAAGTGTAGCTTTAATAGCAGGGGATAACTGGGTTTCTCATAACAGGAAAACTGTATTACAAAGTACTAGCTTTTAAATGGATTCTAAAATAGAAATTGGTCTTTTATAGTTTCAATGTTTGTCATATGTTGGGAAATTTAGTGAGAAGAAAAATACTGGTCTTTTTGTAATCAACGAACATAGTCTTTAATATAAAATTCTATCAATCTCACCAATTAAGATTTAGGAGTCAAATGTAGTAAGCAATTGTATTTGCAAAAAGTGGAGATTTTAAACCTGATCTTTGTTTGTCTGTTTTTCAACAGTTCAAGGCCTGGCAGGCCTCCTAAACGCTCTTTGGGAGTGTTACAGGACAGTGCTCGCCTTCTGCCACATTCAGTTCCAGGCCTCTTATCACCAGGACTTATCAGTCCCACAGGTAATAAAATCCATCCTATGATCTGCCTTGTCTCTTTATGCTGCTCAACATTTGAAAGAAACTAATATTGATCTAACCACTTTGTCCTTCAGAGCTTTTCAAGATTTACTAAAGGTTATGTTATTGAATTCTTTGAGTAATCATGTAAACAGTTTTGTTACTCTAGTGACTTAAATCAAATGGATATCACTTTTAAAAAACTATTTCATTGCAGAAAATCACTTTTAAAACTTTATTTTCTGTATGT